TGTGTATAGTTGTCATAGTTACAGTGATGTGTGGGTTGTCACAGTAACAGTGATGCGTGTGTATAGTTGTCATAGTAACAGTGATGTGTGTGTTAGAAGCGGCAGTCAGCCTGCTAATCTGGAGACAGTTGGGAGACCGTCACTACAGTCCGCTCAATCTGACAGCAACCTCCGCACACGTACACACACACATACACACACACACACACACACACACACACACACACACACACATGAACATATTGAAAAACTGATCTGAGATCTGATCATCTCACAGAATGTTTTGTTGATGTCGTGCAGGTGTCCCACAGAGCTGTCCGTCACAGGAGTCCAGTCCCGCCCCCGCCTCCCTGGTGTTCCGCACAGGAAGTGAGCCTGTTCTAAGCCCAGCCGCTTCCTGCGCCGCTCCGCCCAGCCAGTCGAGTCTCGGTGGCTGTCCTTTGCGCGGTTCTGATGGACAGCTGCATTCACGTGCACCTCCCAAACCGCTGCGGATCTCCATCGTCTTCACCCCGACTCAACCTGATTCTGGTCCGGAGCCTGATTCCACCGGCCTCTATGGTGAGCTGGTGCCACAGGTGAGAGTTCATGAGCACATGCTATTTAAAGTCAACAAGACTTAGAAACTGATTTGATTTACTTACTTCATACACAATTCTGGTCTAATTATATCAGTGGGAACACAGTGATAGGAAAATACGAGATGAGATGAAATAAATATATATTCCAGTGCGTTTGCATTTGCTTGCAAAACTTTAGCATTTTCTCTGAAAAGTATTGTGTTATCCCAAGTTTTGTGAGTGAATGCAAAGGTTTGCAAGGAATGCAAAATGTTCTTGGGGGAATGCCAAAAAATGTGCAAGTGAATACAAAGTTACTTCTGGTAAAGCCATAGATTTGCCAGCAAATGCCAAGTTTCTTAGGAGAACACAAACGTTTTATGAGTGAACATTGATTTTTGTGGAAACACAAATGTTTTGCAAGCAAATGCAGAGTTTCTTGGGAGAAAGCAAACGTTTTATGAGTGGATGCATAGTTTTTTGGGGAAACACAAACGTTTTGCAGGCAAATGCAAAGTTTTTGGAGTACGCAAAAGTTTTATGAGTGAACACAATGTTTCTTATTTGTTTCTTCATATCGTTCCAGATCTGTATGACATATTTCTGCAAAATATAAAGAATTTTATTTTGAAAAACATCTCATTGTTTTTTAATGGAAGTCAATGGGGAGCAAGCAAGATTATTAGTCACCTAGTGGCAAAGAATGAATTTGCATTTTCATTCAGACCAAGTTTTCAAGTTTTCCCGGGTCTGAATATTTAAGAATATTTAGATAATTGTGCTGGAAAACAAGGCAAAAAGACTGTTAAAGAAAGTAATTTTTTTGTTAATAAAGGCTAATTCAAAATATTAATAAAAACTAATCATTTATAAATAGTACTAAAATAACACACTCGACACACATCTATCTCATCTTGAGCCTCTGTCTATCTCAGGTGGCTCGGGTCACAGGGGTGACGGTGGAGCAGAAGAGGATCATGGGAGTGGAAACCGGTCTGGAGCTCATCACGCTGCCACACGGAGGCCAGCTCAGACAGGACCTGCTGGAGAGGTGCGTGCTGCCGTGACGATGCTGATGCTGATGCTGTTGTCATGTGACGCGTGATGACGTCATGCTGTGATTCCCCATCAGGCATCACACTCTGGCTCTGGGCGTGGCGGTGGATCTTCTGGGCTGTACTGGGACAGTGAGTCAGCGGGCGATGGTGCTGCACAGGATCATCCAGCTGGCGCAGGAGCTGCGCAACACCACACACGACCTGTACGCCTTCTCCGCCGTCATGAAAGCACTGGAGCTGCCGCAGGTACCTCCTACACTGGATAAAAGCATTGGATAAAAATGTAACTAATAGATATCACCATACTTCCCCAGTTGACTGATTACATTAAGAATGGCAAAACATTTTTGTATTACAAGTCCAAATATCCAAATGAAGCATTATCTAATTAAAAACTCACTAATTTGCATTCATTTTCAGAATATTAACCTGAACACTGGATGAAGCCAGGTTGAAAATTAATTTGATTTTGTTGTCATATTAGAGCTAAAGGTTTTTCCAAAGGGGATTCTAAATAAAATATAAATCAGTGTCAAATTATCTAAATCAAATTCTGTATAAATCAGTGTGAATGATATATGAGCAAACCCCTCAGTGAAACCCTTCAGAATATAGATATGAATAACACTCCAAGATTTGGTGTGTGTAAGTGCTGCTGAAGCGGAGAAAAAACTCACAACCTTTAAATATAAGCACGTTCACCGTGTTTTTTAAGAATAAAATGTTGTATAAATCAGTGTGAATGATATATGAACAAATCCTTCAGTAAAAACATGTGGAATATAGATAGGAATAAAACTCTTAAGTTTTGGTGTGTGTAAGTGCTGCTGAAGTGGAGAAAAACGTTTAAAATATGTGGGTCAATATCACCATAGAGTGCATTTCAACCCTCACGCTTCTCAAAAATCTTGGCTTTAATTTCTATGTCCATGTCATAATGTCATAAATAGTAGACACTCAAGTACTATAGAAACTCCCACACAATTTTTTTTTTAGATAATTATGAGCCATTATTCAACGCATAGATCATAAGATATGTCCACCCTGTCATGGTCATATATATTACTGTTAAATACGTTTTCATTGCAAAATTAAGATGCAAATTATATTTTCTGAAAGGTATTATGTCCCTTTCCTAAACAGGGTTATTTGTTTGCTTTCAAATTATAAATACATGAAAGATTTTATGTAAACCATGTGTTTTTAAAGAAACTCATACTATTCGCACATGTATTTATTCTTATATGAAGAAATCTGATATTTGGATACAGTTTTTGGTTTGCATTTTATTGATCCCATACCTAGCTATTGAACACACTGGATTATATAGATATGATTGAATTATTATTTAAAATATCATTGTAAAATATCAAGATGACAGGGTGGACCAGCACATGACGGGGTGGACACATAATGCAGAACACACAAAGCATGGCAAAATATGACAATGAAACATTTATTCAACTTCGAAAAAGATAATATTAAGTGCTGCTGAAGTAGAGGAAAAACTCTTTCACACTTGTTTTATAAGAATAAAATGTTGTATAAATAATATCGCAGGTGGTGAGGTTGGAGATGACGTGGAGAGCGCTGAGGCGCAATCACACCGACAGCGCCGTGACGTTCGAGAAGAGTCTCAAGCCCTTCATGAAATCCCTGAATGAGGGTGACGGTGAGTGTTTGTCGTGATTCGACTGTGTCTCGTGTCGATGCTGAGTGAGCTTCCAGCGAGTGTTGTGTGTGATAGACGCCGTGGTGTCGGGGCCGCTGTCTCTGCCGCACATGGAGCCGCTGCTGAGGCTGATGGAGGGCGAGGACAGCGTGGAGTCCACTGACAGAGCCTGCCAGCTGCTCTACAACCTGCTGCAGTCGGCACGCAACGCCGCGCTACACGCTAACGACTGCACGCAACACGCTCACGGCCTGCTCTCCGGTACACACACATCAGCCAAATACTCTCAGTGGAAACTAGCTAAAGCCTGCACTGAACGATATTTGTAGAAACTATTTTCACTCAGAAATTGCTAGCAAATTTTACAAATAATTACAAAGGAACAGCAAGTAACACTTGTAAAATGTGTTCAAGTAATCTTTATTTACAACGTAAAACTTTGTATGTGTATATATATATATATATATGTATATAAAAACATGATTTCAGTCTTATAAAAAAGTAAACTTAAAAACAACTTTAAAAAAATTTTAATAAAACATATATATATATATATATACAATGTGCTAAATGTCTAAATGTCTAAATATTCATTACATAATTTTGTCTCTTTATGTAAAACTCAGCATTTTGATCACTCAGAAAGTTAAAAGTGACACAATGTCTACATTTTTTATTTTGTATGTTTGTCAATGCCAAAAAATATGTTTAAATATAGTCAAAATGGCTCCTTGTCAAAAAAAACACAAGAAACCAGTTACAAACAAGTCATAGCAACAATGAGAAAGTCGCTAAGTGAAATTAGCATGTTTATAGATGTGTTTTGTTTTAAGCTATATTTACACATAAAATGATTAGTTCGAAAACATTTTATTTGTTTGTTAATCGCCCAAAAATAGCCAAATGTAAAAATATGTCCAAAATAGCAGTTTGGTCACAAACAAGTTGCGGCAACAATGAGAAAGTTGCTAAGTGCTGATCAGCATATTTATGTCATTGTTCATATTTGCATTTGATTCACCTACTACATAATTAAATGTAAAATGTTCAGAGAGTAAGTTAGAAGTGATAGAATGTCTTTCTTTTTTATTTGTACGTTTGCTAAAAAACAACAACAACCTATAGCCAAAACACATTGAAGTTTCAGCAAAAATAGGCAAAGTCGCTGAATTAGGTAACAAAAAAAGCCCAAACTGGCAACACTGACACACATACACGCAAAGTGCTCTGATTGGCCGACTGACCTGTCGCTCTCTGCTTCCAGCCGGCTGGGAGCCAATCCCGGAGCTGCTGGAGGTGTTTCAGACGGAGTTCGCCCTTCGGCTCTTCTGGGGACAGATGGGCGCCAAAGCCGATCGCAAGGAGCGCTACGCCAAATTCGACAGGATCCTCACGGTCCTCTCCAACAAACTTGAACCAGATGGCAGCTCAGAGGTTTGAGCTCTGCTAGCAAACACAAGAACTGAACCACATTCGATGAATGAACCCACATCTGAGTTTAATATTCCTGTGATTTATTGTATATTCAGATTACAGTAAATGTTCAAACAGACCGGAAAGACTGTCCAAACCAAAGCACAATCAGATTATAAAGGACCTTCAGACGTGATGCTGTTGTAAAGGTGAAGTGTGTCGATTCTCTCATTATAAAATTCAATATTTTATTGCTAAAAATATGCCACGCTTCACCTTCAATTTGTTTACAGTGATGATGATTTAAAGCTGTGATTGTGTTCACACCCGAGTGAAATTTGCCAAATCTATATTTCTGACCGTTTATATGTAAAGAATATATTTGAATTTCTTAATGGATTAAAATGGAAATAAATATATCAAACTAAAAGTCTGTTTAGTTTACAGACAACATGAAAGAGCATCATGTGATTTACTTTCAAATATAGTCAGGATTAGGTGAACAGCCTACTCGATGAATTGAAAAAGGTCAGATGGGACTGAATAAAAGTCAAAAATGCACATTAAGCAAACATATAAGGAAAATAGCAGTGGAGCAAGTAAAAAAAAATGACATTTAGATGTCTGTGCACCAATGATCTCACACACCGTGGAATCCCTGGAAAATGTACTGAATTGCAAAGTTCATTTGATTTCACTTAGACTGAAAACATTAGCATTTATTAACTGTTGTGTGCAGCCAGCAGACGGAGACAAACACCAAAACACATCCTGCGCATCTAAAACCAGCCAACTCACGGCACATCTGATCTGAAACATCATTACCACATTTAAACATTCTTGCGTTTGAATTAAAAATAAATAAATACCTTAATGCCTGTTCACACCAAGAACAATAACTATACCTTTAAAGTTTTAATTAACGTTCTAATTCATTGAGAATGAGGAAGACACACAACTTCGATATCGCACTGAGGAACGATACATTCGATACGATACGATACGATACATGCATACATTCTCGAATCACTTCCAGAAAGCTTTTGTCCCACTGATAAATGATCAAAACACTGACAACAAATCAGAATACATCTTTAATAAAGACCACAGCATTTAAAGCAGCAGACTTCATAAACAGAACATTTATAAACTGATAATAAAATCAATCTTAGCGTGAATGGGCCTTAAAGGGACAGTCACCCCCAAAATAAAAATTAAGTCATCATTTACTCACACCGTGGTGTTCTAGCCCTTCTTTCGATTTCAGATATAATTTCCCACAGTATATCACAGAATGATCCCATGTCATATATTCCAAGTGTTCTGGCGGTTTATAATCTACTCGATGTAATGTATTATTTAATGAAAATCCTGACCTTGACTGTTGTTCATGTGCATGGCTGCTCAAGCATTTAAAGTGGCGGATGCACTTGTTTATATCATCCGATGATACGGACGCTAATATAGATGTCGTTATAGTTATAATTTTTTTGGGTTAAGCAGATATTTAAATTAAATATGGCAATCATTCAGCACAAGTTTGGACACACTTGACTGTTTTTATGCATCATGAAGTTACAACAATCAGAGCTGAAGGCTTCTACATGCAATATTTAACAAACGCAGCAGAAAAAGACAACGAAAAACCATTTTAAAACTACAAATGTTCAGGAAATCACCAGAAGCAGCATAATGCATGAGAGAAAAGAAAGAAATCAAAAAGTAAAAACATTCCCCGTGACATAAAAGCACAAGAGTTGATGGAGTCACATAAGCACAGCTCACACTCCTGTAAAACACACGATCAGCTGTTTCTAGATGATCTGGATGTAGGACGCCGGCACGTATCCCACGTCTCCATTGGCCCTCTGAACTCGGACCCAGCCGTCGCCCTGATCCTCCTGCATCAGACTCAGCTGCTCGCCCACATGCATGGACACGGCTCCCTCGCTGCTGCCTGAAACACACACACACACACACACACACACACACACACACACACACACACACAGAGATGCTCACCGGACCGATCTCTCAGTGTTTACTGAACACCAAAGGAGTGCAGAAAAGAGAGGAGCTCACCGTCAAAGTCATAGAGCGCTGTGCACTGACCGATGGGAACGTCGACGTCAAAGTCCTCATCAAATTCACATTCGTAGATGTTCTCTGACGGAGACAAGCTGGACTCGCTCAGCACGGAGATGTGCTCTGAACTACACACACACACATTATACCGGTTAACAAAGACATCTCAGATCAAACGCATGATCTTCAGGAGAATTTTGACAACACACGCAATCCCGCATAAAGACAGAGAGTGTTTGCTGACGGACCGACCTGGCGGGAGTGTGTTGCAGCGTCCCACCGCCGGCTTCAGTCAGCTGAACCTGCAGAACACACCTGTGTTTATATGTGTGGAAATGTTATGCGTGTGAGTCTGTGTGTGTGTGTGTGTGTGTGAGTCTCTGTGAGTGTGTCTGTGTGAGTGTGTGTGTGTCTGTCTGTCTGTCTGTGTGTCTGTGTGAGTGTGAGTGTGTGTGTGTGTGTGTGTGTGTGTGTGTGTCTGTCTGTCTGTCTGTCTGTCTGTGTGTGTGTGTGTGTGAGTCTGTGTGTGTGAGTCTGTGTGCACCTGGTATTTGTTGAGCTCTCCTCTCAGTCTGGCGATGTTATGGGCAGTCTGTGTGATCTGAGGCTGAAGGCTGGATGGATCTCCAAGCTGAGAGTTCTGCTCATAAACACCCTTCATCTTCATCAGAGCCTCGCTGACGGATGGACAGAGAGACGGACAGTGTTACAGAGTTAATGTGAACGGCAGGATTCTTAGGATCAGCTAGTTTCAGTAGTCACAGAAAGTATTGATTGTAAAAAGTGGACATGGCAACCCTTGAAGAGCGTGCTCTGTGAAGCAGCCTTACAGATGTAAACGAAGGCAGCTTAGTTAAAATCACAGAACATGACGAGTCCTTGGTCGCTGCAATATTACTCTGCTCAAAAACAGCAGATACCAAATGAGATGCCAGAACGGTGCTATAGTGACCATGCTGTCAATCACTGCAATTTTGAGAGTGTTCCATACAAACACAAAATGAGATTTAAATGTAATTATTTCTATATTTTTTGTCTATTATCTCAAGTTCTAGAAATAACATGATTTGCATGATGTGTGGTATTTCAGTGCTCAGTGAGACGGAGATGTACCTCTGCTCCGTCTCTCTCTGAAGCTCCTTCTGGATGTCATCGATCTTCTCCTGCAGACGCCTCCTTCTCTCATCCAGAGGCAGACGAGAGAGATCCTCCAGAAATGATGGCTTAAAACACACACACTGAGACATCAGTACTCCACACACTCAACACTCCGACTGACCGCTCCTGTGCCTGACACTACATGATCTTAGTATGCTTTAATCTTACATCAATCACCCCAAAACGAATGTTACTGATGAGTCATGATTTGTTTGTATGCAGTTTTCAAGCACAAACTTAGTTCGACCACACTGACCCCACACAAGATCATTCACTGGAGTCATATCACTTGTAAACAGTATAAAAATTAAAAACGAAACATTTTGCATAAAGCTGCTCACCAAGTTCTTATCAGGAGACGTCACCTGAAAATTCAAACACGTGCACAGACAAACAGTTAGTACACACATATTTACATACACACACATCATATATAAACTAATCTTAATCTAGTGTGTGCTCTATTTCAGCATGTTCACATCTGAGGCCAGTGTGATGATGGTTTGCAGTAATTCCTGCAGTACAGTGTGTGTGAGTGAGTGAGTGAGTGTGTGTGTGCAAGTGTGTGTGCGAGTGAGTGTGTGTGTGTGTGTGTGCATGTGTGCGAGTGCATGTTTATGTGGTTTATGAGGACACAAATTTGTATAATAACATGGGTATGACATAGGTATTACAACGAGAAGGTGATTTATGAGGACATTTTCAGTGTCCCCGTAATTCAAAAGGCTTATAAATAATTCAGAATGAGTTTTTTTGAAAATCTAAAAATGCAGAAAGTTTCCTGTAAGGGGTAGGTTTAGGGGTAGGTTTGGTGTAGGGCAATAGAAAATACGGTTTGTACAGTATAAAAACCATTACGCCTATGGAGAGTGCCCATAAACCATAAAAACAAACCTGTGTGTATGTGTGACTGTGTGTGAGAGAGTATGTGTGTGTGTGTGTGAGAGAGAGAGAGAGAGAGAGAGAGAGAGAGAGAGAGAGAGTGAGAGAGTGAGAGAGAGAGAGTGCGTGCGTGCGAGTGAGCGTGCGTGTGTGTGCGTACCTTGTTTTTCTTGAGGAAGAGCTGTTTGATGCGCACTTTGGGCAGGTGTGTTACTGTGTTGTCAGATGTGGCAGCTCTGACTGTTTGACTGTAATCCTCAAACTCCACTTCAGCAGGAGGCACTGCACCCGATTTATACTGCTCTACGAGAGCCATAGTGTCCTGCACACAAACACCACATCAGCACGGCCAATCACAGCGTACTTCTAACATTTACTTTAGTTTATTTATAAAACACATTTAAAAACAACAGGTGTTCAAACCAAAGTGCTGTACAACAAATAAAACAAACTTAAAAACATACCTAATCAAGAAAACAAAAGGGCCAATGAAATCTTTTTACATTGTAAAAAATGTAAGCCCATCAGACATTTAGTGTCAGGAAGACATGCCGACAGATTAGACATAGAACAGTTATTGTATTTAACAGGAAAATAAAGCTGAGTGTCGTCAGTATAGAGATGTTATGATAAATTATGTTTTCTGAAAAATACAACATACATTATAAAAATATAAAATATATGAGTGGAAGCATATATAAGGAAAAAAGAAGAGGACCCAGAATAGAGCCCTGCGGAACACCACAGGAGATCTGAACCCGAGATGAGAAACAATTTCCTAAATTAACGGGGGAAAAAAAACTGTCATTAAGGTAGGATGCAAACCACTTCAGCACAGATCCCTGAAACCCAACTACTTGATCAAGTCTTTGTAGAATGATGGCATGATCTATTGTATGAAATGCTGCACTTAAATTAAGCATGATTAAGATACAGCAAGAACCAGAGTCAAAAGAAAGTAAAATATCTTTAGTAACCTTCAACAAGGCAGATTCAGTACTATGAAATTCCCTAAAACCAGACTGAAATGAGTCAAAAATATTAGATGTACTCAGTTAAGATGAGATCTCAGAATAAACTATTTTTCCGAAACTTTTGAAATGAAAGAATTTAGATATGGGTATAGTTATTCTGATCATGCTGATCAAGATGATGTTTTTTAACAATGACTGGACTTATTCTAATGTGTGATTTTTCATTCCTGTGCTGTATGAAGAATGTCTCAGTTACTTCAGAAAAACACAGATCAAACTTCTGCCGAATCTCCTTCTCCTCAGAAGTTTCTGCTGAGAAAAAGACCCCAGTGATGTCAAATGTGTCTCCTCAAGGGTTTCAGAAGAGATCTCAATGACGTCTGTGCTCTTATTAGTCTGGATACCAAAGTCTGCAGTCAAATGTCATTTATTATGTCAAATTATTTCTTTTTAGCAATTTATTTATACTAATCAATTTGATTAAACTCTACTTATTTTAATAATTGTTTGTTTATTTTGATAAAATGTTTTAAGTATTGATTTTTAATCAAGGTGTATTTATTTTTAATCAAGTTTATTTAAATCCTATTTTACTTAATTTAATGCATTTTAATGAAATAAATAAATTTTATTTCAGATTTATTTTCATCAAAATGGATTTATTTTAATCAATTAATATTTTAATCACATTTATCAAAATTCATTAATAATTTTGTATTTCTTTTAAGCATTTTTTAGCATTTATTATAGTCAAAATGCATTTATTGTAATCAAATTTTACGCATTTGTAAATTTTTTATTATTTAAAACAAGTTTTTGTTTATTTATTAATTATTTTAATCAAAATATTTATTTTAACCCTTTTTTTATTTTAAACATTTACTTATTTATTGCAATCCCCTGATCTAGGTTATCACCACACCGTGTTCAGGAAACACTAAATGTCAGTAAATATGAACTGGAGAGATGAGAACGCACGTAACAGTGGAATGATGTAGTCACATGACCAGACTCACACATTCCTGCAGCTCCTATCAGCTCTCGTCAAACTACTGTCAGTGTTCATGCATTTCCTTAAGAGGGCTGAAGTTAGAAATCATGAACTAACATACACTATGATATTTCCATGCAAACTGCAGGGAATCCTGATCTGTGTGTGTGCGTGTGTGTGTGCGTGCGTGTGAGAGTGTGTGCGTGTGTGTGCGCGTGTCAGTGTGTGTGTGAGTGCGTGCGAGTGTGCGTGTGCATGCGTGTGTGTGTGTACCTGTTTCTCATTGATGTTCCTCCCAGTGGAGCTGATGGCGTCTAAACACTTGTTGATGTTGGGCAGGACGTTCTTCTCTGTTTCAGAGAACTGCACGTAGCCGTCGGCTAACAATCTGATGCGCCGCTCCTCCATTTCCTGCAGCTTCTGTGAGCGACAGATAGACAGACAGACAGACAGGAAGTAGAGCTCATAATATTCCAGTCAGGCTGATGATCTCTCTGATGAGAGCAGACCATGACGCACCTTATACACAGACGGGATCTCTGAGTGGTAGAAGTTGTTCTGCTCCTTATTGTATTTCTGCAGCTGTGAAGCGTACTCGTTCTTACACTCGTCTGCTAAGTGCACGCGGATGTGAGCGTGCTGTTTGGCCTAAAACACAGACACAGCATCAGATATACAGTATCTGTTACCCATGAAGCTTAAGCGCGTGTGTTGAAGGAGTCTGTACCTTGTCCACGTCTGCTTTGGTGGCGTTTGCGTCCTGCTGGACTCTCTCTGTCTGCTGATTGGCCTTCTCTGCGTCTCTCCACTCCTTCTCAAAACGCTTCTTACTCTGGATATAAACCAATACAGATGCACACAAATCAGTTAAACATTCTAGCTCACTTCATAAACATGTATACATGATAAGAAAGCAATCAATCAGTTACTCATGACGGTGTCTGAAGCAGATGCATTCAGAATAATGCATTATAATAATGCACCATCTTCACCATCATGTCTACAGTGAGACGATCACACACACACACACACACACACACACACACACACACACGCGCACACACACACTCCCGCGGTTTGAAGATGCTCTCTCCGCTCTGCTGCATTCAGGGCCGAGAGACACACGCATGATAGACCAGCACTTTTCCCATGGGATGACTTATTACAATAAATTAATACATGAAAGTGTCATTTCTGAATGCTCTTAGAACATTCAAAACATCCAGGTTCTAAAATGCTTTTCTTGTTTATGTGAATGCTAGGAAAAAGGTTAAGGGAATGCCTAATTTTGTCATTTCACAAACATCATGGGAGTTCTCAGAAGCATCTGACACATGTAGTAAGCAGTAATGTTTATGAAGCATTAGACAAACGGCCAATGTTTCAGAAGAAATGTATTATAATGTTTTTGTGCTAACGTTTGGACAACATTGTTAGATTCCTGTTAGATGTTCCAGTTAGATCTGTGTGTGTTACACAGAGAATTGTGAGTTGTGTTTTGAAAAAAAAGTGTTTTCTGAAATTGAAAACTGAGTCAGAAGCTGAGAATTAGTGTATGGTTTTGCAGATTCGGTGTGTGCTTCTGCTGTTTGAGTGTCAGCTTTCAGAAACTGTGAGACAAGTACAGATTCTGTGTGTACGCAGTTGAAAAAAAACTAATGCTACTGAAGAACGTTTATTCATAACTCCGAGAGAACATTGTCAGAATGTTCTCAGAACTTTCAAACAAAAATAATTTTGGTAACAAAAAAAAACAATCTTCAACAAATCTTCATTCAGCCAAAATAGCTGGGAATCAGCATTGCAGACTGACGGTAGTGAGGCTGTTTATCAGGGTTTAATTCTCTAATCGACTCACTTTGTGTCCTGGTCTTCTTTGACGCCTCGTCTGGAATATTTCTTACAGAGGTTCCTTTAGAGAAACACACACAAAACAGGTTAAACCAAGATGAAACATGTTAACCCTGACCACCAGCGGCCTTCAAGAACACAAGATCAAACGCCACTTTAACTATTCATTGTGCACATGGAAATATATATATTTGACAGACTTTCCAAACGCTGCTGTCAGCCTTGCATGACAATATCACAAGCTTTCTGTTGATTTGACAAACAAAATAATGGGAAGTAAATCCAGGAGGGATTGAGATGATGATGCCGCTCAACCTGTGCAGAGCTTCAGCTTTTGGACCTAATTAATATTCATGAGCCAATCCTTTTTACATCAGGGAGTCTATAGAAAAGCTGACAGAAAAACAGTTTTTTGAGGATGATGATTTTAGGGTGTGTGGCATCAGAGACCGGAAACCTCTGCTTTATGCTGTACAAACACAAACCTGAGCTGTTTGGCGTAATTCTGCTCGATCTCGGCTCTCTCTTTGACAAACTTCACGTATCGCTCCAGCAGATCCAGCCCGCTCTGAGTGTGTCTCTCAATCACATCATGCTGGTCCTGCAAACACACACGATACACAGATTTCTGAGTGTGTGTGTTTGTGTGTGTGTCTGCTTGTCACTTCACGTATCGCTCCAGCAGATCCAGCCCGCTCTGAGTGTGTCTCTCAATCACATCATGCTGGTCCTGCAAACACACACGATACACAGATTTCTGAGTGTGTGTGTGTGTGTGTGTGTGTCTGCTTGTCTGTGTGTGTGCGCGCGTTTTTGTGACAAATGAGGACAAAGGTATAACATGGGTATTACAAGGAGAAGGTGACTTTTCAGGACATTACCCCATGTCCCCACTTTTCAAAACGCTTATAAATCACACAGAATGGAGTGTATTGAAAATCTGAAATAGCAGAAAGTCTCCTGTGAGGGGTAGGTTTAGGGGTAGGGTTGGTGTAGGGCAATAGAATATACGGTCTGTACAGTATAAAAACCATTACGCCTATGGAGAGTCCCCACTTTTCACAAAAACAAACCTGAGTGTGTGAGTGTGTGTGTGTGTGAGTGAGTGAGTGAGTGAGTGAGTGAGTGTGTGAGTGTGTGAGAGAGTAAGTGAGTGAGTGTGTGTGTGTGTGTGTGTGTGTGTGTGTGTGTGTGTGTGTGAGAGTGAGTGAGTGTGTGAGTGAGTGAGTGTGTGAGGTATGCAGGACATTCAGCTCTCTAGGTGTGTCACTCTTTTCCCACATGCAACTCTCAAACTAGCTTGACAGGTCGATCTGCTTCACACTAGCAGTGACCGACGACCTGATCTGATGGGTCACGTGACACATGTGGCTTCAGCAGAAATTCATGCAACTTCTGTTGTTTTCATATGCACAGCTAATCATAAGCATCATAACCTAACTCTGTTAAAATGGTCATGTTAGCACACACCATTGCATGTTACACTTAGTTGAGTTTGTGTTTCTTATTCACTAAACATGCATCTATTTTCTCTAGGTGTGTCACTCTTTTCCCACATGCAACTCTCAAACTAGCTTGACAGGTCGATCTGCTTCACACTAGCAGTGACCGACGACCTGATCTGATGGGTCACGTGACACATGTGGCTTCAGCAGAAATTCATGCAACTTCTGTTGTTTTCATATGCACAGCTAATCATAAGCATCATAACCTAACTCTGTTAAAATGGTCATGTTAGCACACACCATTGCATGTTACACTTAGTTGAGTTTGTGTTTCTTATTCACTAAACATGCATCTATTTTAACAGGAAGGTGTGAGAGCTCACTGATCTACTTCCTGTTGGTCCAGAAACCATTCCAAAGCAAAGGAGATGAGAAATAGTTTGTGTGTTCAGAGATGATCTGACACCAGCGGTAAACCAGTTTAACCTGTACAGGTAAAGCCTCAGACACTGAAAGCAAATCACAGTGGGGCTGTCACGTGACTTAAAGAATAAATAATAGTAGCTACAAATAGGTGAACATAAATCAATGTCATTTTAATTTCTTCATAAACGATTAAGATGAGAAGTATTGCTGTTGCAACTGTCCCAACTAACCCAGTAGGATATAGACAAACCGCAACAAATGACCAAATAAAGCTTTATTGGTGCACTGGTCCACATTTGAAGTGTTTTTGCGTTGTTTTCAGTTTCAGTTTGTTGCGTTGATTAGGCTACTTTTTTACGCACGCATTTCATTTATCACTTTTGTATAATTATTTCAGCTCTTAGTGATACTTGGTATCAATATCAATATACACTTTCTGGGTCGCACTGGTTCAATTTAAATTAATAGCCATAATTGAAAAAAACAAAACAGTGTCGTTACATTTTTAATGTCAGATGTACGAATGAATGCTCTCAGGTGTGCATCTTTTTTACGCGATTTGAACGCGTCCAGTATTATCAAAAATAGCCTATTGGTTTCTAATATACATTACATATAAATATATGTGCTTGTGTCGGCATAACATAGTCTAATTTCGGACAAGTAAACTATACTTTTCCAATCATAAAAAGGTTAATCGTGAATGCAGTCAAAAGTTGTGAGAGTTGGAGTCAAGCTGAAGCACAGGTAAACACACACCTGTTTGCTTGTGAAGTAAAGAACACACTTACCCACAGATCTGAACCCCAATCCATGATCTCTGACAGATCCGACAGAAACCACTGCAGCCAACGAGCGCGAGACACGAAACTCCTCAAAGAAGCTTGTTTTAGTTCACAGTCTCTCCAGACATATATATCAGGTAATGTGGGGTCTTTACGTGTTCCCCGTCAAACACGGTTATTTCAGCAGGTACAGTGAAGAGGATCGTCTCATCTGAGCGCGAGACTGAATGTCACCTCAGCACACCTGAGCTCAGGTGCATTTGATTGTGCTTCTGAATCACTGGCCGTTCTCAGTCGATGGACTTTTGGCAGATAACAACGTCTCCAACACGGTTAAGAAATAAAAATAAAACACTGGTAAAAATTAAAGATATTTATAATCCGTAATGATGACAGTGGCCTTTGTGAACACTACTTGTAACGTTGTAACACTACACTGTCACTGACATCTACCGGATCAAAGTGTTAATACAAACTGCTACTTGATCGAGCTGGACGAATGGACCAATCACAGTCGCTTGGTGTCAGGTGGTTGGACCAATCACAGTCGTTTGGTGTCAGGTGGTTGGACCAATCACAGTCGCCCGATGACTGAATGGCCCAATCACTGTTTTATTGTTAACCTCTCAGTCTTCAGTGGTGGATCAGGGATTTGTTGTTTGTATTATTACAAAGACGTTCTTTCTACTTCTTAATATTACAGTCATTCTTACATGTGTCAGGTAAAGGACATTAGACCTGCATGATAAAATTGCATTTATTTGACTTTTCTGATTCTTTTGAATCACATCATCACTAAAAAGGCTATATTCAAAGTATAGCTTTATAGCAAAGATTTGGTGAAATTTGAAAGCCAAATTTCCATTCTTCTTACAACCAATCAGAGGCTTGGTCACCAGCGGAAATTGTGTTTTACGCTCCACAATTAACCGTCTGATTCTGCTCTTTTAGTGCACTCATTTGTTTAGTCTGTTAGTCGGTAGTTAGTTTGGGGGATTTGTTTGATTTCTTGATTTTTTTTATTTATTTTGGTCCATTAGTATTCAAAGGGTTAGTTCACTCGAAAATGAAAATTACCCCATGATTCACTCACCCTCAAGCTATCCTAGTTGTATATGACTTTATTCTTTCAGACGAATCCAGTCGGAGTTATATTAAAAACATCCTGGCTCTTCCAAGCTTTATAATGGCAGTGAATGGGTGTTGAGATTTTGAAGTCCAATAAAGTTCATCCATCCATCATAAAAGTGCTCCACACGGCTCCGGGGGGTTAATAAAGTCATTCCCGAAGTGAAGAGATGTGTTTGTGTTCGAAAAAATATACATATTTAAAACTTTATAATCCATAATCTCTAGCTTCCGCTGACTGTCACATGTGTGCTCAGGAGAGACTGGTCTTTCAGCGGATGAAGTAGGATGTAGGCGTAGAGTCTTTGTCAGTAATAGTAATAATATTTTGTTATTAAATTACTATTTTTTTTTTATTAATGACTGCTTTTCCGCAATGTCTGAAATGTCTCTATTTCTGATTGTCAACATTTGTATTTTCATCTTTAACTTAATTTTGTCCACCTGACCAAAACAATTGACCCCGTCTCACTGCTTCTCCCTCTTTCAGTCATCAGTGTCTTAAATCCGAAACAGATTCGTTCCAGCAGGATGGAAGGATGATTGACTGGGAAATGCTGGAAGCAGAACATCTATTGCAAACTAAGGTCTGTCATTTCTTCTCTCTAATGCCACATAGGTTGTTATTGTTAGTTCTTCGTGGTTTATTTGACAGATAATTCAGCACTCTTCAATAATGATTTTAGTAGTTCAGGGCTTTG